ATAAGTAGGAATTTCCTTGTTTGTAAATTCAAATCTGAGGAGTAGGTAACAGCTGCCATATCCGGGTTCTAACACTATGTAGTAGCTGTCACAAGATGTCTGCTGGCTACAGGAATGGAAGGAATTTCCCTTAACTTTGGGGAAACTTCTGTAGACTCTGTCAGTGGCGTTGGCAGGGAGATTACCCTGAAGGGTTTCTTTAGCTGTGATAAATGAATCAAACAGAAACACTCTAAAGTACTTTTCATTTTTTGTGTGTACTTTTTTTTTTTTTTCCAAACGAAGTCTCACTCTGTCAGCCAGGCCAGAGTGCAATGGCATGATCTCAACTCACTGCCATGTCTGCCTCCCAGGGTTCAGTGATTCTCCAGCCTCAACCTCTGGAGTAGCTGGGATTACAGGTGTGCACCACCGCACCCAGCTAGTTTTTGTATTTTTAGTAGAGACCAGGTTTCACCATGTTGCTCAGTCAGGCTGGTCTCCAACTCCTGACCTCAAGTGATCTGCCTGCCTCGGCCTCCCAAAGTGCTGGGATTATAGGCATGAGCCACCACACCCGGCCTTAAAGTACCAGTTATTTTTACCCAACATCTGTTCCTTTTTCAAAGATGCCCCTTCTTAGGGAACTCCTAATTGTTCTGATGTTTTAACTCCAAGCCATCACTTTTGTGAGCTTCATAGTCCTTTGTAAATATCACCAGGTATGTAAGAAAACATGTGGTACAGTGGAAAGAGTAATGGCCACAAAGGCAGAAGACCTGAACTTGAGACCTGGCAAAGCCATTTAAAGAGTTTTGTGACCTCAGGCAATCATTGAAACTCTCTGAACTTTGGTTGCTTTATTTGTATGATGGAAATATTAATCATAATAACCCCACCTGCCCTATCTACCTTTTAGAAGCTTGTGAGGGCCATAAATTGCACCTTGATGCAATATAAATTGATGTTATAATTTTTGAGTTGTCAATGTAAGAGCTTTATATATTTTTTCTAATAATACTTAAATTTGTCCTCAAAGATTCTTAACTTCAGTTTCAGTGGCTTTTGGTTTTAAATTGCTAAAGCATTACAGAGCCAAATCTTTGGTTTTTTTTTTTTTTTTGAGACGGAGTCTCTTTTTTGAGATGGAGTCTCGCTCTGTCGCCCAGGCTACAGTGCGGTGGCATGATCTCGGCTTACTGCAAGCTCCACCTCCCAGGTTCACGTCATTCTCCTGCCTCAGCCTTCCAAGTAGCTGGGATTACAGGCATGCACCACCACACCCTGCTAATTTGTATTTTTAGTAGAGACAGAGTTTCTCCATGTTGGTCAAGCTAGCCTCAAACTCCCAGCCTCAGGTGATCCTCCTGCCTTGGCCTCCCAAAGTGCTGGGATTACAGGCGTGAGCCACCACACCTGGTGAGTGTGTTTTATCTTGAAATCCCTTTCAGAATAGAAATAAAGTGCTGGGATTACAGGAGTGAGCCACCACGCCCAGCCTAAAGTTTCTTTTTGATTTAATCTTCTCTCTTAAAGCTCATAAGGCTGGCTAAAATTGCTCATTGTATTTCTGAATTTCCATTCCCCAACAATGCCTCATTTTACATTTTTCTTTACACAATTTTTGGAATCCTTTTTCTTTTCACTCAGTTCTCCTCTTCCCCAACCAAAATGTCTTTTGCTTGGATTAAACTCATTTACCGGCCGGGCGTGATGGCTCACGCCTGTGATCCCAACACTTTGGGAGGCCGAGGCGGGCGGATCCTGGCTAACATGGTAAAACCCCATCTCTACTAAAAATACAAAAAAATTAGCTGGGCGAGGTGGCGGGCGCCTGTAGTCCCAGCTATTTGGGAGGCTGAGGCAGGAGAATGGCGTGAACCCTGGAGGCGGAGCTTGCAGTGAGCTGAGATCGCACCACTGCTCTCCAGCCTGGGCAATAAAGTGAGACTCCCTCTCAAAAAAATCAAACAAACAAACAAACTCATTTACCAAAGGAACGAATACATGATTATTCCCCAGAGGCAGTTTCATTTGAAAAGAAAAACTTCATAATGAATCTCTAATTGGCCAAATTTCAGGTAATCTAACAATCCTAGATTTCAAGACTTTCTTATATCTCTTAAAACATATTCCTAGGTAATTGTCTAGTACGGGTGGTTTTTCAAACATTTAAAAGCCATTGAATTCTTGCTTCAAATAAAATTAGGCAGTAGCCGAGTGAGTAGAAGAGATAAAGGGCTAAAGTACTTGGCTAAATGGGGATGGGGGCCCAGGACCCTCCCCACTCACCTCTGCTTCTCTTCACCAGCCACCGCTGTGGAACAACTCCAGTAAGAGGCCAGCCCATATTTGCACCCAAATGCACACACCTACGGGGAAAGAATGGATGATACACAAGTAGAGAGCCCATTCTTGGGCGTCCAAAAGGAGCCTGTAGATGTCTGTTGCCATAATAAATCACATTCACATTTTTTAAAACACTTTGAGAATGCGGCAAAACAACAAGTGAATGGAGTGAGAAATCTCAGGTTTGGAACTTTGGTGTGAGATGTGGTTATGTTCTGAAACAAATATGGTCAACTAAGTGTATTCTTGAGGCCAACCTGCCTATTATTAGCTCCTTTTGGAGAATTGGTTTTCCCCCAATGTGGGTTTTCCCTTCCTCAAACTTTAAATTTCATCCAACTACCAAAATAATTTTCTCCTTTGAAACAAGAGTTCCAGGGGTATTTTCCTAGTAAAGTACAATGTGGAAGGCGGCCTCCAGAAAGACCATGCTGTTCCTCTTTTTGTTGATCTCTAGGTCTGTGTTTCTTACCCTGCAGGTACCTCACACCCAACAGCACCTAAACAGACTCTTAGAACTTCCCTCAAAGCTTGTCCCTCCTCTAGGTTCTCCTATCCAGTCACAAAGTTAAAAGTCACCATAAAGACAGTAACCATTAAATTACTGGGGCTCTAAGTTAGGCATATCATGAAGATCAGGATTTTTCAATTTCAACACTACTGACACTTGGGGCAGGATAACTCTTTGTCGCGTGGGCCTGTTCTGTGCATTGTAGGATGTTTAGCAGCATCCCTGGCCTTTACACACTAGATGCTAGCAGCACCTACCCACTTTGAGGCTATACAATCAAAAATATCTCCAGGCATTGCCAGATGTCTGCTAGAGGAAAAATCAACTCCATTTGAGAACCACTGATGTGTATGATCTCTATTCCTCACAATACCCACATGGGGCAGAGGAGGAAACTGGACCTCTGAGGAATTAAGGGACTTGGCCTTGGTTGTGTGACCAGTATGTGGCAGAGCTGGTCTCAAAGTACTATAAAAGCCATCTCCCCTTCTCTCTGCTGCCTTCCAGTACCCAATTCTCTCTTTCTTCTAGTTTTTATCTATGCTAATCTCTCATGTGACGTGTCTTTCATGTTTTATTTATTTGTTTTGTAGAGATGAGGTCTTACCATGCTGCCCAGGCTGACCTTAAACTCCTGGCCTCAGGTGATCCTCCTGCCTCAGTCTCCAGACGTGCTGGGATTACAGGCATGAGCAACTGACCCTGGCCCATGTGAAATGTCTTAATTTTGCTCCCTGCTTTCTGGATTGCCTTAGCTCAGATCTGTATTTCTTACCTAGCCATAACTAGGTTCTGAATTTATCTTCCCAATTTCAGTCTCTTCATCTTTCAATCTCCGTTTCACATTGTTAGAGCTAACTTTGTGAAACAGATATTATTAGTGTAACTGCCTTATTGAAAAACTTTCTGTGCCTTCCACATTGCCTACAACAGTGGTTCCCAAAGGATGATCCTGAGACTGGCATCATTGGTATTACCTGGCAATTTGTTAGAACTGCAAATCCTTGGGCCCCATCCCAGACCTGAATCAGAAACTCTATTTCTTTCTTTCTTTCTTTTTTTTTTTTTTTGAGACAGAGTCTGTCTCTGTCACCCAGGTAGAGGCGGGGTTTCACCATGTTGGCCAGGCTGGTCTTCAACTCCTGACCTCAGGTGATCCTCCTGCCTTGGCCTCCAAAAGTACTGGAATTACAGGAGTGAGCCACTGCGCCTGGCCATAAATCTGTTTTAACACACCCTCCTCCAAGTGGTTCTGATGGTTACTGAAATTTGTGAAACTCTGGCCTAGTCTACAAAACTCCAATGTCTTAGGATGGCGTAGAAACCCTGACTGCCTTTCCTACCATGTTCCTTGTCATTATTTTCTCCTCTCCTATCCCACCCTTGCCCACCCTCCAATTTCGTTCTTTCGTTAGCTATCAAACCTGCCTTTGTCTGTTCTAAGCACCAATAATAAAAGCAAGACAGACCAGCTCCTAAGTGCCTTGCTGACCTAGGGCTGGGGTGCTCCAGCCACATGACAAGCCCTGGAATTAAGTACACACCATGTCATTTTAAGTGACAAGCCTCTGCCGTAGCATCTCCTTCTTCCTGGTGAGTTCCTATGTCTTTGGTGGCTCATTCTCAAATGTCCCTGTTCCTGAATTACTCAGAGGGCTAATCCCTAGTTTCCCTGTGCCTCCACAGCTGCCTGTCATTTCATTTATCCCAAAGTGGCATTCCCATTTGTTTACCTGTCTACTAGGATACTCCTAGAATGCAGGTAATGTGAGGGAGGAGCCTTCACTCATCTTTGTGTAGATGGCATTGTGACCCTGGTGACCAACCCTGGCACACATCAGAACCATCTGGGAGCTTTTCAAAAATATGAATGCCAGAGCTCACCCCTGGACCTACAGAAACTGAGCCTTACAAATCCATATTTTAAAATGTCCCCACATCACCATTGCACACTGTTCTGCACAGAGCAGGTCTTTTTTTTTTTTTTTTTTTTAAACAGTTCTCCAATGTCTAGTCAATTACTTAGCAAGGCTGCCTGGAGAATCACGTCTACCTTAGCTTACTTCTCCAGCTTTGTGGGGTTTGGTTTTCTTTTGATTTCAGTTTCCATTTCCTCTGACTTGAAAGTATGTGCCTTGGTAACAGCCACACCGCAGTCATTACTGATAAAAGGCGACATTTTGTTGAGATGATTTTAGTTATTGACCCAATCTCTGGTATTTTGAGGTTAATATGTTTTTTACAGTCTCAAATATCCAGCGGTCCTCAAATTAGAGTTGCCTGTTAAACAGTTTCTCAAGTATCTTTCAGGATTGTAGTCACTTTGCGGGCTAATCGCTCACCAGGTGTCCGTGGCTGATCCCAGTTATTCTGATTAACCTCTAAGGTGATTGTGAGGCTTTAAACCCTCTCACCTGTAGCCGATCAAGCCAGCTCAAGTCAACATCCCGGGCTGTGAACCCGCGATAAGGTCGGAGGGGGCCTCCGTGGAGAATAGATGGGGAAGTTCTCTGGGGCGGGCGCAGTTTGCCGCTGATTCTGAGAAACCGAAACTCAGCTGTTAAAACCGCTGCCTCTGCACTTTGGAATCCCGTCCGGAGACTCGCTAAGCGTCCCAGTCGCATCCCTCCCGCAGCGACGGCGGCCCGGGACCCGCGGGCTTGAACCATGTACACACGCAGCAGAGTGGTGAGCTCCGGGCTCGGCGCCTCCCCTGCCTCCCGCCCGACCCGGGACCCCCGGGGCCCTTACGGGCGGCACGGGGATCTGGGCCCGCTGGAAGACCGGAGACAGGGTTTGGAGGCAGCCCCTGAGAGCCCTTCGCGGGAGAGCATCGTGCACGCGGGCCAGAGACAGTGAGTATTTTAACAACCTGGCTTCGGGGCGGGAGCCCGGGCCCCAAACATACAAGCGCCTTGTTGGTCCTTGGAGTTTGAAGCCACAGGGGCCCAACAACAGGGATTTTGACTGAATGAAAGCTCATTTGCTTAAATGAAAGCATCCATGCCTTACCTTATAAATAGAGTTTGCTAGTTTGCAGTCCAAATAACCAGCCCGGTTCCTTCTAGGAACACTACTTTTCTGACTTTTGTGACTGGCTACAGGATTGAAAGATGTGGGTGCGTAGGAACTGCCTAGGCATCCAGTAAGATGTCATTTTCCAGGTATCTCCAGAGCTCATACTCCAACCAGTACGGAAATAACTTTTCCTTTACTGTTTTTTAAAAACTTGGTGCCCAGCCAGGCGCGTTGGCTCAAGCCTGTAATCCCAGCACTTTGCGGGGCCAAGGCAGGCAGATCACCTGAGGTCAGGAGTTTGAAACCAGCCTGGCCAACATGGTGAAACCCCGTCTTTACTAAAGATAAAATAATAAACTGGGTGTGATGGCACGCGCCTGTAGTCCCGGCTACTTGGGAGGCTGAGGTAGGAGAATCGTTTGAACCAGGGAGACGGAGGTTGCAGTGAGCTGAAATCTCACCGTTGCACTCCGGCCTGGGCAAGAGAACGAGACTCTGTCTCAACACAAAACAAAACAAAAAAACAAAACTTGGTGCCCTAAATGGAATTACTATATCAGACACTAACAGGTAAGGGTCAACAAGAAATGTGATATGGGGTAGAAGATTCAAATTCTGCCTCTAGGTAGGAGCAAGCCTGTGTCCCAGCAAGACTCCCAGATAAACTAGCCTCTTACAACCGGAGGAGTGGAGCTGAGTGAGTGAGGAGGTGAGTGACCGTAGTAACTCTTGTCCCTGATGTTGATATTTGCTCTGTGCAAGAATAGATAGGTAGCATTTATTCCTGGTCTTTGATTCAGGGACTGCAGTGAGTATCCGGGAAACATTTACTATGCAAGTGTCATAAGCCTATCTTTCCAGCCAAAGGAATGAACTTCTTTAACTCAGCAGAATGGTTTATCACAACATCACTGCCTTTGAAGTGCTGCCTCTGTGAATTGGAACTGTCCAAATGGTTTTATTTTTAGTGTCTCCTTTTTCATCGACTTCTAGTCCTACGAAAGACAAACCCTGGTTGCTAAGAAACAGTATATAACCTTATGGCCGATAAACAGTAGATTTTCTTTCATCCCTTAGCTTTTGAAAGTACCAGGCCTTTAATATTATTCAGCTTAGGTTTACCCTTAGATGGGGTGGATAATCTGGAAATCAATTAGAGATTGTTGCATTTCTTTCCTCCTCAGAATAATTGGTGTCTTGCCGCAATAGAAACAGCCCATTACTTTCAAGTAACCCGCATATCTGCAAGCTATAGTACTTAACAGTAACGAAGGTCATAGACATATGGTCTCATGTCCATGAATAGTTAATGATGAACATGATTTGCTTTACTTTTTTCTGTTAAAAAGCATTTATTTAGATATAACCACTTATTTTCAAGCTCATATCATCACATAAGTATTAACTGTTGCACCTATTTTCTTATTTGGTTGTAATTACCCCGGAATCTTGCTAGACCAGACTGCTCAGAAACAGGCAGTTTTCGGATGGGTTATCCAGGCCTTAATACCCTGAAGACCTCATTGCACACTGTTTTGCAATTCCTAAAAAGATTTTCAAATAAACCATTAAAAACTACCAGGAAGTGTTTAGTTACCTCTCACTGAGTCTTCCTTTTTTTTTTTTTTTTCCACATAAACCAGTTGCAGTAAGTACAGAATTATATATTCCCTTTTAGGGGTTTGATGTCTGAGATCCTGTTGGGACAACTTTGAATTTTTGTTGCATCTCCATTAGTTACTTAGATTCACTTTCTCACTTGTTTGCTTTAATGGAGTTGGAAAACCAAGGAAAATGAATGGCACATATCTCAGTAGAATTAGTGCCCCCCCGCCCCCAAATAAAGACGTCTTTATTTATTTTGGGGATAAAAATTAGAAATACTTTCTGATTTAAAAAAATGAAGAGGCTGGGCGTGGTGGCTCACGCCTGTAATCTCAGCACTTTGGGGGCCGAGGCGGGCAGATCACGAGGTCAGGAGATCGAGACCATCCTGGCTAACAAGTTGAAACCCCGTCTCTTCTAAAAATACAAAAATTTAGCCGGGTGTGGTGGTGGGCGCCTGTAGTCCCAGCTACTTGGGAGGCTGAGGCAGGAGAATGGCATGAACCCAGGAGGCGGAGCTTGCAGTGAGCCAAGATTGTGCCACTGCACTCCAGCCTGGGCAACAGAGCAAGACTCTGTCTCAAAAACGAAACAAAACAAACAAAAAGAGGATAGAGTTCAGTGCTTTAATAGTACAGCTTCATTTGTCTACTCATAATGTGAATTTATTTATATGGTAAAAGATTTGTCTTGTTTTGTGTGCATCCTTCCATTAATTTCCTCCTGCATCCCTAGCGTGGGGATTAGGAATATGGGCTCTGATGCCGGGTAGACCTGGGTTCAGTTCTGATTATGCCATCACTTGCTCTTTGAACAAAATCCTTAGCTACTTTATGCCTCAGTTTCCTCATTACTTGATATGAGACAATAACTTCATAGGGTTTTAATTTTTCCGCATATATATGTAGAAAACATAACTTTATGCCTGATAAAGTACTATGCTATCACCCTTAAGTCAAGTGTTTGTGCCTTGTTAAAAACACACACAAGAAAACACTGGTTTAAAACACCTACTTGTGGTCGGGTGCAGGGGTTCATGCCTGTAACCTCAGCACTTTGGGAAGCCAATGTGGGAGGATTGCTTTAGTCCAGGAGTAACATAGGGAGGCCCTTGTATCCAAAAAAAAAAAAAAAAAAAAATTTTTTTTTTTTGAGCACGGTGGCACATACCTGTGTCCCAGCTACTCGAGAGGCTGAGGCAGGAGGATAGCTTGAGCTCAGGAGCTCCAAGACTACAGTCAGCTGTGATTGTACCACTGTACTCAAGCCTGGGCTGTTAACAGAGTGAGACCCCGTCTCAAATAAATAAATAAACCACTCACTTGCATAGACACAAAGTATACTAGTAAAAATCTATGGCTATCAATATATTAAATGATTCTGAGTACCTCTGATAGATTCTCAGACAAGATTGAGTTCTTGATGGAATTTGGATTTAAGTTATTACAAGTATTTACTAATTCATACTGGCTTTCCCAATGAGTTTTACTTGGTGATTTTTATCTTGTCCTTAAATATCAAAGCTATCTACACAAATTAAAAGAGAGAAAAGCTTACACAAACTTCTAATCCAAAGTAAACCTTTATCCTTCCTTTTAATGTTCTGCTTGTTTGTAAATATTTTACATTATTTATATCACCTCTAGATAAATATAAGACAAAGACATGCATTTACCTAGTTTTTATCCAATTCTGGGAAATGGGGTCTTGCCTGTGCTAGTAATACAGGGTTGAGTTCATTCTTATACTTGTCTAACCATACCTGGTCCTTTAGCTTGATGCTGTTTGAGGAAAATAAAAAGATATTTTGAAAACGAACCTATAATACGGAATTTTATTTTACAGTTAACTTGAGCTGAATTTGTATGTAAATTATGTTAATCTTCACATTTTTGTGGCCTACTTTGTATTAGTATTGTAGAGATTTCAACATGAGCAATGGTAACCATAGCACTTATGTAGTGCCTAGTACGTAGAAGCACACTATGTATATTGACTCTCAATCCTCATAACCACCATGGAATGAGAGGACCTCTAGCTTAAAAGAACTAATTAAAAACTAGGAACAAATAACTATTCAACAAAAAATAAGCCCTTATGAAGCTTACTGTCTAATTGATGGAACAGACATTTATTAAAATGTGAATAAATATGTATACTATAAAGCAGGGGTATCCAATCTTTTGGCTTCCTGGGGCCACATTGGAAGAATTGTCTCGGGCCCCACAGAAAATACACCAACACTAATGATAGTGGATGAACTTAAAAAAAAATCGCAAAAGAAAAACTCCATGTTTTGGCCGGGCGCGGTGGCTCAAGCCTGTAATCCCAGCACTTTGGGAGGCCGAGACGGCGGATCACGAGGTCAGGAGATCGAGACCATCCTGGCTAACACAATGAAACCCCGTCTCTACTAAAAATACAAAAAATTAGCCGGGCGAGGTGGCAGGCGCCTGTAGTCCCAGCTACTTGGGAGGCTGAGGCAGGAGAATGGCGTGAACCCGGGAGGCGGAGCTTGCAGTGAGCCGAGATCGCGCCACTGCACTCCAGCCTGGGCGACAGAGCGAGACTCTGCCTCAAAAAAAAAAAAGAAAAGAAAAGAAAAACTCCATGTTTTAAGAAAGTTTATGAATTTGTGTTGGGCCACATTCAAAGCCGTCCTGAGTCGCCTGGGCTTACATGCACCTTGTGGGCCCTGGGCTGGACAAGCTTGTAAGGAAAGCCAGGGTCTGAGCTGGTCTTGGGAGCAGGAAGATCTTTCCTCAGACGTGACGTTTGAGCTTTGGTCTACAGGATCATTAGGAGTTGCGTATTTTTTTTTTTCCTGACACCAAATATGTCATTCTAACACCAACTAACTCTGACCCCAACTAAGTGTCCCACAGTTCAGTTCTAACACTAACTACTCAGAGTTAGTGTGGACCCCACAAATTAAGGGCTCCGTCCTGCAAAACTGCCCCCCACTTCAGACTTCAGACACTAGCTGCAAATGGAGTCTCCAGGCTACCTGTATGTCTCCCTACCAGACTACAAAGTTGGGGGTTCCCATGCATCTCCCCTTCCCCAGTTTTGATAATTCACTAGAGTGACTCACAAAACTCGCAGAAATTACTATATTTATGATTATAGGTTTATCATAAAGGATACAACTCAGTAAAGTGGAAGAGATGCGTAAGGCATCTCTTGGGGGATGAAGGGGTAGGTCGTGGGGTGTGAAGAGTTTCCATACTCT